CGGCCCCCAGCCCCTCGGCCGCCCTGCTGCGCTGCGTGCCGAGCCTGGGCTCGCTGCTGCCCTCCTGGCTCAGCCCAGAGGTGAACCCACAGTCATGGCCACTTCCAGGGAGGGGCTCAGAGAGGTTGAGGGGTCTCCCCCGACCCTCACAGCCTCACCGGTTGTCTGGGTGCCCCGCTGCCCCCCGCCCCGCCCCGAGTGTGTCAGGACGGGGCGCAGCGCGCGGCCGGGCCGAGTTGGGGTCTCTCCACCTGCTCTGTGCTCGCCCGCAGCTGATGCCGCTGCTGAAGCTGCAGCACGCCCACATCTCCACGTACCGGGAACTCTTCATTCTCTGGGACCACGAGGTGCGTCCCTGGGGTGCAGCAGGGCCAGGAGCTGCAGCACCCGCCGCGTACCCCTCCTGTGGCCGAGCCAGTGCCCCGGGGGTGGCTGCCCGGGCCCGACCCTGACGGCCCCCGAGGCCCTCTGGGCAGTCCCGTGAGCCCCTGCAGCCCGGAGGGCTGGGCCCTGAGAAAGGCCTTGGGGAGTGATGCTCACTGGCTGCACCCCGAAATATTTGATGAGTACCCCATAGCGCTCTCAAGGACACAGATAAGCGGGGAGGACCTCTTCCTGTGGGAGGGCTCCTGGGCCCTCTGACAGGCGGGTGGGGGCCCGAACCGGTGCTCTGGGGACCCCTTGGGGCAGGGTCCTGGGGGGGAGATGGATCTAAGATGAGCCCTGAAAGGTGAGCAGCTACCCCCAGCGGTGCCGGGACCCCAGGAGCAGGAATCTGAGCCAGTCAGGGCCCAGAGGCCCCCAGAGGCGCCCAGGGGCTTTAGTGTCCGGGGGCGGGGGCCAGGAGTGGGGGCGGCCCCGGGGGGCCCAGATCCCGGCCCGGCAGCACCGCTAAGGGCAGGGCGCTGCAGTGCTGCTCCGTGTACCTGTGCCTGGTGCTGGAACACAGCGAGGGCAGCTTCCAGCAGGTCATCGAGAGCAAGAGGACGGACAGGGCGGTCATCGGCGCTGAGGTGAGACACCCTGGGCACCGGGCCCGGGGCCACGTGGCCCGCAGTGGGGCCGGGGCAGGGACGCGGGCGCCCCATGGCGGTCGCGTCCCTGCTGCCCGCTGTGCGGGCCCCGGGAGCGGCACGGCCAGGGAGCCCAGGGCGAACCCCCCGTCCGAGTGTGTGCCGTGGCCGTCGGCGTGGGCCTCCCGGGGTCCCTCCCGCGGGCACAGGCCCGCAGCCTCAGGGTCGCTGGCCGCAGCTTGGGTGGGCGCTGGGGACCCGGGCTTGGGTGTCTGGGGACAGCGGGCGAGCGGGGCCTGGAGCCCCCAGGTCGCGGGGACAACTGCACAGACACCCCAGGGCGCCAGAGCTCCCGGTCAGGCCTGCCAGGCGGCCGCAGAGGCCACGGGGCTCGGCCGTCCTCGGGCACAGCGGCTCGGTCCGGGGCGTGGTCGTGTGTCTGAGTGGGCAACAGCCGCCTTCCCCGGACTGCTGCCGCCTGGACGCGGGTGGGGGAGGGGACGCACCCGCTGGCCGTGAGCGCTCGTGCCGTCTCGTGCCGTCCCAGCCCGCGTGGCCTGTCAGTCTTTCACGTTTTAGTGGGAGACGCATTTGAGTGTCGTTTCAGGTAGAGGGTGGCACCGCGGGGGGCGCTTTCCGACCCCCCGAGTGTCTGTGCCTTGCTGGCGGAGCAGCTGGGTGCGCCCTCTGTATGCGGTCGGAGCGCCTGGCGGGCAGCGAGCCGGCTCACGGCGCCCCCGGGCCTCGGGCAGCTCTTGTTTTGTTTTTTTTTTTTTAAGGTTTCTTTATGCACACAGAACTGGGGTACAGGGAGAGGTGTTGGGGGGTGAGAGGCTTCACCAGAGACAGAGCGGGGAGCAGAGCGGGCAGACGGATGAAGTCCACTGCTGAGGGGAGCAGCGGGCGGTCAGGAGAGGGCTGCCGCGTCCTGGGGGTCCCCTCCGGGGCAGGCATCGAACTCCCACTGAAATGGCCGTGGCCGGCCTGCAGTGCTGCGCTCTAACCCGCTGCCCACCAGGGAGGGCCCTCTTGGGTGGACGGGGGTCAGCGGGGGCTTCCTGACGCCGGGGTGACTTGGAACAGGACCAGAGATCCACTGCCTGGAAGCTGGATGGATTTGGCTTCCGATTCAAAACGCGTTCCCTCAGTCTGAATGACGCAGAGAAGCGCTGGGCGCTGACCACACTGAGGCCACGGCGGGCCCAGGCCCCTGGCTGGGGGGCGCCCAGGGTCTCCGTGGGGCAGGCATGTGGCCCGGAGACTGGAGAGCCGTGCCCGCCCGGCCAGGAGGCGCCGGCAGCAGAGAGGACTTTCCCGCGCCGGCTCTGGGCTCCGGCTGGCCACTGGCCGGCCTGAGGACACAGGCGCGGGCGCCACTGTCCAGCCGTGGCCTGGCCTGCCCCACACAGCCGCATGCCCCGCTTCCTTGCAGTGGCTGCTCAGCGTGCTGGGCCAGGCGATGGACGCGCTAGAATACCTGCATCACCTGGCCGTCATCCACAGGTAGGCCGCGCGGGGCGAGCGGTCGCCGCCACGTCACCTCCCTGAGTCAGCCGGAGTCAGCTCGCGGCCGCCGGGCGGGTGCTGGCCGCCGGTGCTAAAGTGCACCGGAAGCCGCAGATAGCGGGGCTCCCGGGGAGATTAGGCCGCGGCGTGGCCTCTGGCCCGCGCCCGGCTGAGCTTTTGACCCGCCAGCGGGCGCCTGCTGCGCCCGTGTCCCTGGTCTGCAGGGCGGGACGGGGCTCACGCTGGGCCAGGGCACTGTGTCCGCGGGAAGTGGCCACGGGCCGTCGCTGGACGTCAGGGAGGGGTCCCCGCGCGGACACCCGGATTGAGGTGCCCCCGGGAGCCGGCGAAGGCCGAGGGCGGGCGGCGCCTCCTGCGCGCAGCTGACCTGCTTTTCCGATCTCAGTGACGCCGGTTACGGGAAACCGCCTCGGAGCAGGCTCGGGGCGCCTTTTCCGAGGACGGGCAGTGGGCGGGCTGCGGCGGCCGGGCAGGGCGGGGAGCGGGGTAAGGTCCAGGGCACACGCTGGCCCGACGGGAGCCACGCCTCACCTTCAGGAACCTCAAGCCCTCCAACATCGCCCTGGTCAGCCCCGGCCACTGCAGGCTGCAGGATCTCAGCTCCCACACGCTCATGAGCGACGAGGCCAAGTGGAATGTCCGTGCTGAGGAAGGTGGCCAGGGCTTCCCGCCGCCAGACGGGGGGCTGGAGGGCAGCAGGCCGGGCTGTGCTCCCAGGGGGTTCAGTCCCGGGCCCAGAGGGCAGTGGCCAGTCTGTACCGCAACGAGGCGACATCAGGCCTCTGCCCGGAAGGTCCCCACAGCCCCACCTGGCTTGTGTGGGCTCGAGACCCCGTGCCTGGGGCGCGTGCCAGGTCCCAGATCCCCCGACGCTCGAGAGAAAGACCCCTGCGAGAGGAATGACGTGGTGCCCGGGAAGCTGCCCCTGGAGGGAGAAGGGCCCAGAAGGAAGGCATGTGGACAGCGGCTGCCCGGGCCCGACCGTGGGCACTTTAGGGAGTCTTGAAGTGACTCAGAGGAGGGCGGGGTGGGGTGGGGGGTGTCCTCCTTCCTCTGAAAAGACATGGGCACAGGGAGCTGGCCCAGGCTGGGCAGCTGTCAGGCGGCGATAGTGACCGCAGGGGGGCTCCGGAGGCTTGGGGGTGGGTATTGGGCACCCTGTCCTTGGGCCCTGGGGTGGATCAGTGCAGGTGGGGGTGGGGGTGGGGCTCCCGGTGTCTCTGGCCGGTTCCGGGAAGCCCACCCCTGGCTGCTTGCGGGGTGGACGTCCAGAGGGCGCCGCCCGGGACCTGTCGGGGCTGCAGAGCGGAGGAGTGGAGACCCTCCTGAGGGCCAGGCTCGGACGCCGGGCAGGACGGCTGGGATTGGCCTCCAGGTCTTGAGAGTTGGGGCCAAGATGCCTGCCCCTTCCCTGCTCCACAGCCGCGAGCAGCCCCGCTCCCAGGGGCCTCCCCTGGGGGGCTGGGGGGTCTCGTGTTTGTTTGTTGTTAAGGTTTATTTACTTACGCACACAAGAACTGGGGTGCAGGCCCGAGGTGGAGGGTGAGAGGACTCCCCAGAGACAGGGGGGAGCAGAACAGGCGGCGCCACTGAAACCCGCTGCTGAGGGGTGTGGGGGACCGGAGGGGCTGCTGCGCCCGGGCCCTCCCCGGCGGGGTCGAGCTCCTGCCCGCAGTGCTGGGCCCGCCACGCTGGGGGCCTCGTTCTATCAGCTGCCGGCTCGGGTGGCTCTGGACCCAGCGCCCCGCCTCTGCCCACAGACCCCCTCCAGAAGTCCTGGATGGCCCCCGAGGCCCTCAGCTACAATTTCAGCACCAAGTCCGACATCTGGTCCCTGGGCTGCATCATCCTGGACATGCTCAGCTGCTCCTTCCTGGACGTGAGCGGCGCCCGCCCCGGGGCCCGCTGCCCCGGGTGGCCCCCCCAGCCCCTCCAGCCTTTCAACTCGGGGCTGTCGGAGCCCCCCTCCGCCCCACGCCCCTGCTGCCCGAGGGCCACCGCCCTGGCCCTGCCCTCTGGGTCCCGGGGCGGGAAGGTGACAGTGGTCAGACGCCCCCTGCAGCCTGGGCTGCCACTGGCCGGCTCCCGCAGGTGCGGGGCTGGCCTGTCCGCTCTGAACAAGGGTGCTGAGCTGGGCGGGGCGAGCCTGAGCGCACCCGGGCGCCTGCGCTGCCCTCGGGGCCTGGTGCTCCGCCCTGCAGACCCTGCGCGGGGCGCTGTGGGGCCAGGCAGCCCCGGCGCTCTGTGCAGGGAGGCTGGGCGCGGAGGCCGGTGGCCAGCCTGCTTGCGGGCGCAAGCCCTGGGCGCCCCCTCCGCCGGCCCCCAGATTCCCTGCTGGGTCAGGGCGGGGAGGCGCCCGGCCTTGTCCACCCTGGAAGAGGGCTCCTGGCGCCGCCAACCCCCGTCCATCCCCAGGCCGCGGAGGCCATGCAGCTGCGCAAGTCCATCCGGACGCTCCCGGCCGGCCTGGGCAACGTGCTGAGGGCCGCGGAGCAGAGGCAGGTCCCTGCCGCCAACATCTTCAGCGCCCTGCTGCCGTCCATGCTCCAGGCCCACCCCGGCGAGCGGATGGCCATCCAGTGAGCAGCAGGGTCGCCACCCCCGGTCTCCCGCCACGGGGCCCCGCGTTCGGCCCACGCCCTGGCCCCCGGCCGGCCGGAATGTCTCAGCTAGATTTTGCCGTCAGAAGGCACAACAGGACCCTGCGTGCCGGGCTGCGCCAGCGTGGGCGTGAAGTCCAGTGCTCAGCCTCTTGGGGGGTCCCCGGGCCAGGTGCGGGGCCCTGCACCCTCCTCCCCACGCCCGCCCACCGGGGCCCCGCGGCCACTGGACACAGGCCGGGCCCGCAGGCAGGGTCGGGCCTCTGCTCTCCCCAGGGCTGTGATCCAGGCCACCTTCAGGAGCAGCAGCCTCAGGGGCCCCGCCGCCCGGACGGTGCAGCGGCCGCAGGACGTGCCCGTGTTCGTTGCCAACATGCTGCTGGAGAGCAGCGTGGCCAGCATCATAGGTGTGGGGACCGGCGGGCAGGCGGCCTGGGGCGCGGCGCCGCGGGCGTCATCTGGAGGGGCCCGCGCCGCTCCTCGGAAAGGCCAGGGCAGGGCGGGCCAGGCCTCTCGCCGTCCGTCTCCAGCACCACGGGCGCACCCCTGTCCGTCCCCCCGTGTGCCCGCCCACCGCTGCCCGTCCGTGAGCTGCGCGCACTCTCCGGCCTCACCCCGAACGACGCGCCTGCCCGCCCTCCATGTCCATGCCCTGCCGGGCGATGGCCCTGACTGAGCGACTCCCCACTCGGCAGCTCTCCGTGTCCCAGCGGCACGGGACGCTGCGATGGGCCGGGGGTGACCCTGCACCCGCGTGTGCTGTCCAGTGGCATCACTGCGGTTTGAGCCGCACAGACCTGGCCCCGGGCGTGTCGGTCACGGGGCTCACGGCTGCACAGCGCCCCCGGGGATGGCTGGGCCCTGTGGCACGCCCCGCCGGGGGGCCCCCACACAGTGACTGACCACGCCCAGGTCTGGGTAGAGCGGACAGTGGGAGGCGGGCGCCGCGCGCGGCCTGTGACGGAACCCGCCCTGCTCTGCTCGTCTCTGGAGCGGACGGCGGCCCACCGCTCGGCTCTCCTGCTTCTCCTGCTGGCGCCGAGGCCGCCACAGGCCGTCGGAGCCCGCCAGGCACCCGAGCCGCGCCCCGAGGCAGTGTCCCTCTGGGCCTCTGCCTCCTCTGTGGGTCCTGGATCCTGGGGGCGAGCGACACCTGCCTGCCAGGGGCTGCGAGGGAGGGACTGGACTGCCGTGGGGTCTTGGGCCTTGGGCGGTGGTGACTGGACGGGACGTGGGGTGATGAGAGCGCCACCTGGTGCCTGCTCTGCAAGGCCAGGCCCGGCCCCAGGCGCCCGGTGTCCCCACAGAGGTCATGAAGAACTTGGCTGACCAGCCCGAGATCCAGCTCCGGGCCCTGAGGAAGCTCCTGCAGATAAGCGAGGCTCAGCGAGGTATGCGCCCCGCCCGCATCGGGGGGGCCTTGTCCTCGCAGCCTGCTGGGCAGGCCCCTGTGGGGCCACCTCTACGAGCAGAGGGGGTGGACCGGGCTCAGAACCCAAACCTTCGCCTGACTTTAAGGGGTGCACGGTAAGACGCCCCACCTCTGCGGCTGCCTTATCGCCGGGCATTTCCGTGTGTAAGCAGCAGGGGGCGCCTGTGCCCGGGAAGTTCCTCTGCAGGGCAACTCGGGGGCCCGCACTGCCCGCGCCCTGGGCGCCAGAGCCTCCCTGGCCACTGCCGTCCGTGTGCGGGAACAGCCCCAACGTCGCCCCACGGCTCTTGCAGATTCTCGGCGGCCTGAGCCGCCCCCCACCCCGGGAGGCTGGGTTCAGGCAGGCGCCGATGCTCTCCAGCCCCGTGTCCCCGCCAGCCACGGGCCGCCCCCCCCGTGACCACGCCCCATCTGCTGCCCCAGCCCCGCCCCGCCGCCCCGCCCGCCAGGTCTGCCGTGGCCCATGGAGCTGGTGGAGCTGGTGATCCCCATCATGAGGCAGCACGAGCGGCTCCCTGACATACAGCTGTGCGCCTGCGCCCTGCTGCAGTCCGTCCTGGGCCAAGGTGGGCCCGGCCCCGGGGAGGTTCTGCCAGTGCTTCCCCCACATCGGTTACCCCCGGGCTTCTGCCCAGTGGTCCCCCCACCCCAGGATGAAGGGAGGGTATCACTTGCGAGCTGCGTGGTCCTGCAGCCCCCGCTGCAAGGGGGCCCGTGGCCTCCAGGGCAGCGCCAGCCTCAGCTGCTCCCACTCAGGCGGGCTCTGCCCCAGGGGAGGGGGCTCCTCCCGCCCAGCCTTGGGGTCACCTGGGCTCCCCCAACTGGCCTGAGCAGCACTGGCGCAGGACCCGGCAGCTGAGGTGCCCAGGGACAGCGCCCTGGCCCTGGCCCTGCTGAGTGTCGCGCGGAGTCACCCCAGGGTGGAGCCGCTTCTGGTGTCGGTCTACAGCCTGCTCACCATCGTCTGCAGAGAGGGTGGGTGCACTCCCCGGGCCAGACTGGGGTGCACGAGGGAGCGGGGCTCGGGAGAGTGCCGGCGTGTGGCCACTGGCTCCTGCCATGTGTGGCACCAGCTGGGGCTTCGCTCATCCCTGTCCCCTCCTCCTGACCACCTCATCTAATCACACTGCCCTGTCTACCAACTGACCCCTGCCCAGCGTCCAGAGCCGGGCCAGCACCCGCCCTCGGCTGCACAGCTTGGGGAGCGGGTCTGAGCAGCAGGCTGGGCGGCCACCAGGACTCTTTTCTCAGGCCTGCTCTGTGCGGGCTGGGGACAGGACGGGCCCTCCGTGGGGAGCTGCTGAGCCAGCCCGGCCCTGGGAAGGGCCCTGGGACTGGTGCCCAGGGCATGACCCACGTCTGGTTTCTGGTCCCGCAGAGGCAGGAGCCTGGCCGAGTGGCTGTCCAGTAGTGCAGGGTGCAGGGCTGGGGGACAACCGGTGAGGGAGGCGGTCCGGGAAGGCTTCCTGGAGGAGGGGCTCTCTGGGGCGCCAATCCAGGGCCTGCCCACAGACTCGGCCTCGGAGGAGCTGCAGGCGGCTGGGGTGTTCGAGCACATCCTGGGACACCTGGACGGCTTCTCCCAGAACAGGGACATCTGCGTTAACTGCCTGAGCCTGCTCTGGACCCTTCTGGTGGACGGTGAGAAGGCCGGGCCGGCACCCTCCCCGCCGCCCCCACGGTCTCTGCGACCTGCCCGGAGCCTGCCCGGGCGCCCTGGCCTGCGACAGGCTCTCCCCAGGCCAGCAAGGGTGGGGGGGAAAGCAAGTGTGTGTGTGTGGGGTCAGCTTCTGCCCAGGAGCCCCCTCAGCTCCACACACGCTGGGCCTCCTGGGTAAGGCCGGGGTCTCAGGAGCCCCAGCACTCGCCACTGTCCCGCCAGCCTGGGAGCTCAAGGGGCAGAGCACGTCCAAACACCGGGGCCACACCCAAGTGCACCCCGACCCGAAGCCTGCTGGGAGAAGCTGAGCGCAGCCTTCCACGTTGCCCCGGGAGCCCCGAGCCCTTCCCCACACAGCCCGGGTGGGGCAAGGGGACGGCCGGTGGCACCCCAGGCGACCACCGCGTGTCCCACCCTGCCCCACCAGCCGTCATCACCAACAAGGCGCCCCTGGAGAAGGCCTTGGTCCTCGTCGCCAGGGTGCTGGCCGCCTACCCCAGGGACGTGGAGATAGCCGAGGCCGGCTGTGCCGTCCTCTGGCTGCTGTCGGCGCACGGTGAGCTGGGCGGGCGGGCGGGCCACGGGCGACACGGGGCGGGACCGGGCGGCAGGTGACACGCCCGGGCCGCCCGCAGGCTGCGTGGAGGAGGAGCGGTTTGTCCAGGTGGTGGCGCTGCTGCTGCGCAGCCTGCGGCTGTGCCCCGGGCGGGTCCTGCTGGTGATCAACGCCTGCCGGGGGCTGGCCAGCCTCGCCAGGGTGTCAGGTGAGCCGGCACCAACTCCAGCTTCAGCCCTCCCCGAAGCCTTCCTTGAGGTGACGCCCGTCCCTGGGCCAGCAGCTGGCCAGGGGTGCCTCAGCTGGCCCACCGCCCCGCCCAAGCTGCAGGCCCGCAGCCAGCCCCGCCCCCTTGAGGTCCTTTTCCATCTCGGCTCCAGGACGGCGCACGTGGGGCTGGGGACGCCAAGCCGGGCCTGTCCTGTCTGCTCCTCTGCCTGAAGTGGGAGCCTGGGGGAGGCCTGGGACCCAGAAGGCAGGCCCCAGGGAGAGCGGTCTTCCTCTGGTAGAAATATCTGCCCTGTGGCGCCAAACAGGCTTGTCAGAGACCAGTGGGCAGTCAGCCCGAGCAGTAGGGCCTGGGCGGGCAGCAGGCCCAGCCTCGCAGCTGCAGTGGGGACACCAGGTCTGGAAGGGCAATGACCACAGGCTGCGTGAAGGCGCTCTGGGTGTCCCTGCAGCACCTCACCCTGGGCCAGGGCCAGCCCACAGTAGGAGCCTCTGCTGTGCCTAGGGGCAGGGTGCACCCCTCAGGGCACCCACAGGGTGCTGGGGGTGGGGGGGTCAGGTTGAGTGAGGTGGCGCCGGTGGGCCCCACCTCCTGGGCCAGGGCATGGCAGCAGGCCCTTCCTGTCCCCAGAGCTGGCGGCCTTCCAGGTGGTGCTGCCCGGAGAGGCTGGCAACGGCCTGGCGCTCATCGTGGAGACCTACCAGGCCCACCGGGACGACCCAGAGGTGGTGGAGAACATCTGCCTGCTGCTGGCCCGCCTGGCAGCCTACCGTGAGTGCCGTGGCCCCTGCCTGCCTCCCGCCGGTGCGCCCGCGTCTGGGCTGCCGCGCCTGAGGCGCCCTGCTCTGCTCCCCAGAGGAGATCGCGTGGGAGATGGTGTCCAGCGACATGGAGCCCCTGATCCTGGAAATGAAGGGGCGCTTCTCCTCCAGCTTGGTGAGCGGGGAGGGCAACCACACCCGTCAGAAAACTCGGGGGTCCGTGGGGCAGTGAGTGACGAGTCTCCCCTCGCAGACGCTGGTCTCCTATGCAGAAGAGATTCTCCTGGCACTGGGCGCGGCCCAGGCCCCCTGCACCGTCAGTGTCGCTGGGCACGAGCCTCTACCGCCACAGACAGGCCTGTCGCCGGCCAGCCGCCCTCCCTGCCCCGACCCCACGCTTGGCCTTCCCTAGTGGGCTGTGGGGAGCGGCGCCCTGGGCCAGCACGCTGGCCGCTCTTCTGGTGCCTGGCGGCCCCTGGCTGGCGTGGGGTGCCCCATACGCAGCCTCCACCAGCCCTGTGGCGCATGGACTGGCCCTCAGAATGCCGTGGGGAAGAAAGACACTGAGCCCACGCGCTGATGAAGTAAAGCCTGCTCGCTGTTCAGCCATCTCTGCCCTCTGTCCGGCGTTCAGGGCCGCGGGCGGCCGGCTCCCCGCGCCTGAGCCTGGCCGAGGTCACCAGCGCCTGCGGAGCGGTTCCTCAGGCTCCAAGCCTGAGTCCTCGGGGCAGCGGCAGGCGTCTCTTCCAGAACGGGGCAGCTGGCAGCCTACTGACCCAAGGCCTTGCTGAGGGCTGGGGCCTCCAGTCTCCGGGGGCTGGAGAAAGGGGTGAGAAGGACCCGCCTTCAGCCCGGAGAGCTCCGGGCATTAGCCTGAGCCAGCGGCCCACGGCCAGAGCCCTGCCGTCCCTAAGGACGAGACCCGGCGGGCCCAGATTCCGCCCGGCACCAGCGAGTCCCCAGAAGCCGGCCACTGCAGCAGCAGGGACCACACTGTCCACGCAGCCCCGACAGGCGTCCTGACACAGGCCCGGCCAGGCGCCCTCTCTTCAGTGCACGTCCGCCTCCCGGCCGGCCCTACCCCTGGCCCGTGCTCCCCACCCTCTCCAGGACGCCCCCGGAGGGGTCTGGAAGCAGCCCCGTACAAAGGATCCGCTCCGAGGGACGCGTCTGCTCATGGCTGTTTGCGCGTGGGCACACGGCCCGGAGGTGCAGGGCGGGTCCCCCGAGGCGCCGTCCCTGCGGTCGCGGGGGGGCGGCGGCCGGGGGGCGCCTGCCTTGGCCGCGTTCTCCCACTCCCTCTTGACGGCGACGTACAGCCTCATCGCTGCCTGGGCGTCCTGGACCTGGGGACAGGGACAGGGAGCAGCCATGACTGTCCCGGCACGCGGCGGGCATGGGCAGGCCAGGGACGCGCTGCGGGCAGGACGGCCGAGGCCTGAAGGCGGCAGGCTGCACCCGGGTGGGGGGGGGTCGGAGCCCAGGGGCCCTCCCATGACCGCCGAGGCCTGGGGGCTGCTCATGCGTGCTGTGGCCCAGCAGCCCCGCAAGGGCAAGCGACGGCCCGCCCGCCCGCTCACCGAGCAGTGCTCCGCCTCCTGCACACGGACCCCCAGGATCTTCTTGGCCAGCAGCTTCAGGGATGGCCTTCCGCTCTGGCAGGGGGACGCAGCAGGGTCGCGCACAGCCCGGGGCTGTCCCCACTGCCGGCCCGGCCCCCTCATTTCCAGGAGGCGCCCCCCACCCCAGGGGTCTCGGAGGTAACCGAGCGCACGCCGACGCTCCAGCCGATGGCAGCAGGCCGGGCAGGGCTCCGCGACCCACCTTCACTTGGCTCTTAAAAGGTTTGTATTTCTGAGTGTCCCGGATCTTCTTTTTCGGGTGATCGAGGAGCAGCACCTGGAAGAGAGCGGGCGCAGCGACATCGCTCCCGGGCTCAGACAGCACCGGAGGCTCCCCTCTGCACCCAGCAGCCACTGGCAAGGACCCCCAGAGTTAATGTCCGCACTAAGACGAGATGCTGACAGGAGCTGGGACTTCTGTCCTCGCCTGGCTGGAGGTGCCCCCAGACCCATGGCGTCCGGTCACCTCCGGCCTGCAGGCGTCTCCAGGGGAGCTGCACACGAGCCCCACGTGCGGGGACACGCACTGCTCAGGCGACCGTGCGTGTGAGGCCGCGCACTGGCGTGGGCAGGGCCTCGGTGGGAGGAGTTCCAAAGGCCCTTCGAAAGGCCCTTAGCCGTCCCGGACGACGGAGGACGCGGGGTTCCGCGGGACCCTGAACAGGCCCAGGCAGGCCTGACGTCTGCTTGCCCTGGGGTGCTCAGCAGAACTGGCGGGTCAGCTCTGCCCACAGCGGAGACCCCAGCAAGCGGGGGCCGGAGGCCACACCGGGGCTCCCAGCTTGCCCCAGGCCGCCCGGGCAGAAGGGGCTCTGGCCCCGGCTGTGCCACCAACTGCCCGATGGCCACCTGCCACCTCGGGCACGGAGCTGCCCGGGCCTGCAGTGTCCCTCGGGCCCGACGCCACCTACTCAGGCCCCGCGGCGCGTGCGTGCACCGGGCCAGGCCGCACCTTCAAGTCGTTGTGCAGCGCATGGCCGACGAGAATGCGGCCCCTCAGCAAGCCGGCCACCTCCTTCTGGACCACGTCGAACCGCTCCCCTGGAAGGCAAAGAGGCTCAGCACCAGCCCCGGGGCGGCCCGACCGACCAGCGGTGCGGACTGATGGCGGCCAGCGCCAGTGGGGCCCGGTCTCACGCCCCTCAGACGCCCGGGAAACCCTTCCGCTCGCCTGCAGGGGTTCAGCTGGGGCCCACAGGTGGGCTGGGCAGTCTGGGATGGAGGCACGGCGGGGACACCAAGCAAGGCAGCCGGCTGGGGGCAGCGCCCACAGGGCCCACAGAGCAGGGCGCCAGGCGGCCCCCATGCGCTGTGCCCCGCCTGCCAGCCATTGGTGGGCCCCCGCAGGCGGCCTTCCGGTCACCTGAGGCTGCGCCACGCCCTGTCCCTCTCGGCCCCTTCTGGACCAGGTCAGCTCGGCTCACCCCCAGCCCCAGGGCCCTGCTTGAAGCCGAACCAGATAGGCGCTGCCACCGTGCCCGCGCCGGGGCCCACTGCCAAGCGGCAGGGCAGGGCCCCTTCCGCACGGGGGACCCCAGACAGGAAAGGGAGAGGGCAGAGGAGGCGGGCGCGGAGACCCACCCTGCCCGAGGTGCTCCGGCCGGATCCCGCTGACCGCCGTCCTGTAGTCCGTGACCGGCTGGGCGGGCCGGACGTACTTGTCGTACACGCACTTCCCGAACTGGTTCACGAGGGACACGCGGGCCGCCACGCTCTCTTCCCCCTTGGGGCCCACACCCACCATCTCGCAGTCCAGGGCTAGGGCTTTCGTCAGGCTGCAGGGGCCACAGGTCCAGCTGAGCGGGCGCCCCACACCCCGGACACGCTCCCCGGGGTCACGGCTGCAGGCGCAGGGCCCGCCCGGCCCGGCCACTGCCTACCCGCCGAAGGCCTGCTCCTTCACCAGCGTCACGCCGCACTGGCCCTGGCCCTGGCCCAGCTGCTTTCTGGCCGCCTCGGCAGCCTCTGGGCCTATGGCCGCCTCGATGTCGTCTGGGTCCACGTCATCAAACCAGATGGCGCCCCTGAAAGGCAGAGGCAGGCGGCGGGTCTCACACTACGGAGCTGTCCCGCCACTGCATGCAGGTAAATCCCGGCCAGGGCGGGACCCGGGCGCAGCAGCCCCCTCCTGTCTCCCTGCTGCCCCTCAGCAGCGGGTTTCAGTGGAACCGCCTATTCTGCTCCCCGCTCTGTCTCTGGGGAGTCCTCTCACCCCCTCAGGTCTGTACCCCAGTTCTTGTACTTCATTTAAAAAATCTTAATCGCATAGGGCCCTCCCTGGTGGCGCAGTGGGTTAAAGCACAGCACTGAGAAGCCAAAGCCGCTTCCGCATGAGTTCGATCCCCGCCTGCCCCGGAGGTGACCACAGGGCGCGGCAGACCTCTCCTGACCTGCCCGCTGCTCCCCTCAGCAGTGGACTTTGTCCATCTGCCTGCTCTGCTCCCCGCTCTGTCTCTGGTGAAGCCTCTCATCTCTGGCCTGTACCCCAGTTCTGTATGAATAAATAAATCTTTAAAAAAAAAATTAAAAACAAAACAAAAAACCTTAAACACGCATCCTGTGAAACTCAGGCGCCGCAGGGACAGGGATGCAGGACCCCCTTGCCCACAGCCCCACGCTCTCCTTCCACTCAGCTAGCAACAGGTTCCCTGGGGGCGGGCGGCAAAGGGAGGGTGCAAGCACGTGGGCCGGACACAGCCCCCGGGCGCCTGCTGCCTGGCGAGGCCGGCTCGGGCAGCTGAAGTGGCTTCCTTGGGGCTCCCCAGGCCTCACGCCTGTGGGCTTCTCCAGGGACGGCTGGGAGTCCCTGGCCCCACCAGGTCACCAAACAGCTGTCCTCACTTTGGGTCTCCCCACTCGTCTCACTGACGGGTGTGTCTGGATGGGGGACCCCCTCCCCCAGAGACGTTGTCTGACTCACAGACAGGCCAGCTGCTGCCGGCTGTCCCCAAGGGGTTGCTGAGGTGGCCGTCCAACACACAGACGACCACACGAAGGCCCCAGGAGTGGGCCCAAGCCCCCCGACTAGCAAGACAGGGCATCGAGGGCAAACAATGTCCCGTATGGCTTCGGCACCCCACCGCAGGGCTGCCCACCGCAGGCCCAGCCCGCCTCACCGCGGACAGGTGCTGACGAGTACCAGGCAGGCCGCGGAGGGGCGGCGGGCAGGAAGCCAGCCTCAGCCTCGGCCTCCCGCGGAGAAAGGCTCCAGGCGCTGGGCCAGCAGCGTGGTGGCAGAGGCCGCACCAGCTCCCCTGGGCCGCTCAGGCCAGGCACCAAGACTCACTCGATAGATGGGGCCGGGGCCGGGGCCGCGGGGGCCGCCTTCGTTTTCCGTTTTTTGTGCTTGATGTCGCCTCGTTTTGAAGAAAGACTGCCGTCTGCCCTCTTCCGGGCTCCGCTGGCCTGGGTGGGAGGTGCTGGCCCCTTCCCGCTCCGCAGGGCCGGCTCTGGGCCTTCTGTCCCCATTTCCTCTGTCTTCACTTTACCTGAGATCTCTCTGTTGTGCCGGGCAACTTTGGGCTGCTTTTGGGGATCCATTTGGGAGCTAGCCAGAGGCTTTTCTGGGACCTGTGACTTCTGTGTCAGCAGCTAGGGAGGCCCAAAATAAAATACATATTTTAACTTGGAAACCACGCACAAGATATTAGAAACAGGTATGTACTTAAAGCATACGTGTGCACACACCGATCACATCTTCACTGCTACCACATGGCGGGAATTCCTCTTCCAGTGGCTCGGGGAAGTCTTTTCCCATTCTCACCCGCGAAGAAAACGGTCTCTGCATCTCTCACTAGACCCGTAAGGCAACGTGTGCACCCCTCACCGCTCAAACTCCCCTCCTAACAGACGTCTCCTGCGCCCCGAGGGACGACAGGCTCTCGCCATGGTCAGGGAGGGCTGGTGCTCACTGGGGTGGCCGCCCTGGCAGCTGAGGCCACCACGCTGGTGCGCGGACCCCTTCCTCCTCCAGATCTAGGGTAGCTCTGGGGGGAGTCTGGGGTCCAGGGCAGGAGTGCACTAGTGGGAGCTCACTAGCTTCTGTCCGTGGAGGCAGCTCTGCAGCTCTCTTCTCACCAGGCAGGGTCTCTCTGAGATGCCCCCTGGGGGCCAACCCCAGCATGGCTGGTCACCGCAGCCAAGATCTGCCTGCACCCAGGCTGGGGCAGCCACGGGAGCTTCTGGGTCCCGGAAGAGCCCTCCCCTTCCTAAGTAGTCAGCTTGGTCTCGAGGATGACAGCCCTGGCAGGCAGCACAGACCCAGGCCGAATGTGACTCTGCGCCCAGTGTGTCCACTACCAGCGCGAGGGCCTCGGGCCACGCCCCTTCACCAGGCCGCGTCTCAGCCCCCCAGACATCAGCTGGCAGGCGGCAGGGAACTCCTGGGGGGCGGATGCTGCGAGGCCTGGCGCGGGTCTGACCGAGTCAGCCCTGGGGAGGGCCGGCCCAGAACGGGCAGGGCGGCGCCCACCGGGCTCCGGGCGGCCCTGCC